ACACAGCCAAGTGAAGCAGGATGTTCTCCATTCCTGTCCTAAGATCAAAAATTCTATGTGCCCTGACTTTTATTTTACAAGGTGAAATTATGCAGAAGCCTCAAGAACTGCTCACTGCACCTATGACTTCAGTGTGAAAGTGATAAGGACATTTTACCCATGGACAGCAGACAGCCAGGAATACATGTTGCAGAGTCCCAGTTCACTGACACAGCCACCTTCGGCCACCGCTAGTAGTTGCATTTCTGGAGACCTGGCTACCAATGTCCACCTGTCTATACCACGTTGCTCTTTGAAGTCATACCATCCAAACACACATCGCCTTTAATGGAGAAGACATAATCTGAGGGGTCACACTGGTGTGATCCAAGGAAGCAGTCTAATGTGGCCTGGATAAGAGCATTGTGCAAGCAAAAGGGAATATGAAGTGAGACTTCACTCTGTTTTATCACACACAAACACACACACACACACACACACACACACACACACACACATACACACACACACAGCCCAGACCCCAGCACTCACCAGAGAGAAAGTGACTGAGAGAGAGAAAGAGAGGTGGATGCGGTGGGTTTGTGGAATGATAGGTCTTGAACTCAGAAAAAGTTAAATTCAGATGAAGTGGCTTTTTATTTTCTATTATTCCACAAGTATCATCACCTGGAACTACAGTTGGATCAGTTAAATTTTGAACATTCAAGTTTTACTGGTTTGAGCCACAGACATAGTGTTACGGTTATTTGTCACAATGCTCAGCTTCTGTTTTGGAACTTTCACAGCACTAGGATACGGACAACAAATCTCTTTGGGAGCGGCGGAGTAGCTGTGTCTCTCCTCGCTCCCTCTTCTTCCCACTTAACCGTAGTTTTTACTTAGTCTACTCGATATTTTGAGACTGCCAATCGATTTGGCCTCATCTAGGATCCATTCAGGATCTACATCCTCATTCCTTAGGTAACTCCCACCTCACTGAAGAGGCACTAATGCCCGGCCGGAAGGGACGCGACTGAGGGTTTCACCCCTCCCAACATAAGTAGTAATAGACTTTCACCCAGAAAGTGTTTGGTTAGACTTCTGGGATGTTTGGTTGGCATAGACATGTAATTTTGGGAAGAGGTGGTATAACTATTTTCTCCTCAGCACTCATTGCCATGGTGAAGGGGTATGATATGTTGTCCTTCCGGTCTCTTTGCGATCACTCCCCCAACTCTCTTCACTTATTACATGGAATGAGAAGGCTGTCCAGAGGGCATAAAGGGTATAAAGGTATAAAGGTATAAAGGAGGGGACATCTGAGAGGGAGGTCAGAACCTAGAAAAATCTGAATCATCCGTAGGAGTCCCCAAAGGTTTAGATTCTACTTGATAATACTGTCTCCGTCGTTCTAGTCAGGACAGGCAACAGCTGCAGTCTCCCCTTCCGGACGCTAGCCTGAGGGCGTTAAGATAACTTCGGAAGAACAGAACCAGGTTGGGAAAGAGAACAGTGGTTGATTTTAATTTTGCCGGGCCTTTTTACAGATTCTGAGACAATGAAGCAAGTATCCAGGGAGACATTTTCCTGATTCCAGTCTTTTATCAACATACAACTCCAGTACTCGCTACACCATTGTATTTTGAAACTCAATAACTTGATAAAATATTTTTGGAATCAAGAAAGATCTCTATATGAAAGACCCCTAGCAACCGAACAGACAGAGCACCCTTTTCCGGTGTTCTTTACGCATTCACCCGGCGCAGTGTTTTTAGGTGTACTGCAGCCAGGCAATGTGCTAGCTAAAGGTTTTAACCTTAACACAGAATACTAACTAGGGTTACTAATGTAAAGGATGAAGAATGTATTTGCTGCCACTCTGTGTAAACATGTTACGATTATTCTCCCTTTGACCGATGAACTAAGGCTCAAAGTGTTTCTGGTTTTTCCCTGTAGAAGCAGCAAGTTGCTGGGCTGAGGTCTATTTAAGCCTGAATCACGTGCTTATTTTTCCTCTTGCGCCCCCCCCCCCCCCCGAATAATAACCTCTCAACTTCACTCTTGAGATTTGAATTTTTAAGGTTCCGGAAGAAATACTATAGAATTTACCATCTTGGCAAATCCCTTACTCCACCTTGGTTAGTTTTGTTGTTGTTTCAGTTTTTTTTTTTCTTTCCTTTTTTTATTTTTTTATTTTTTTTTCTGTAGAGAATGCCATAACCAGGTGAAGCTGGAGCCTTTCCAAGATCTTTCTCTAAAATCTGTTGATGTTGTTACCTCTGGTCGAATCCCTTTCAGTAAGGAGTTTTTCTGCCTAGGGGGACAGCGGTGCCATTCATCACTGTTGAAGGCCTGAATCCAGGGCTGGGGGCCCATCCGTGAGAGGGGAGGGGCCAGGGGCGGCCCCCTTGTGACCAGCCCTGAGGAGAGGTCACGGAGAAGACCGGCAGAGGAGCGCCTGGACAGCAGCTGCTGACTTTCTAGATCAAGCGCGCCTTGGGGACCCAGGTAACAACCCAGACCTTTTTACAAATCCGTGGGCTTGGGAAGCTGCCGAGGTCGGGAAGGGAGAGAGAGCATGCACTTTGGGGGTCGTGGACTGTGGATGGGGGTGGTCACGCGTGAAGAGTCTGAATTCTAGGGGAAACCCTAGGAAATGAGAGGACAGGAGGAAGAAACAGGGTGTGAGGGTACAGGCACGAAAGAGCAAGAGAGGGCGCTAGACCAAGTGGCATACAGCAAGTGCGCTTAGGAGTACAGGCTGAAGCATAGGTAAGAAAGGAGCCAGGGGACAGTTTCTTCCCGAGTCAGTTTTTCCTAGGATAACCTCCTTTCAGCCATATTTAACATACATTGTTGACTCAAGGGTTTTAAAGATGCAAGGAGAGAATGTAGAGAAAGGTGCACCAAAGCAAGGCTGCACAGAGCACCAGTGGTTATGCTTTTTAAAAGAGTTGCCATCCTTTTCACCCTAACGCTCAGGCCAGTCCCCTCTCCTCTCCGCCGTACCCGCAGTTCTGGCGGCCTTTGGAGCAGGTAGCCCCGGGCTCGGCACGCCACGCGAGCCCCGTGCACGGGCGGAGACGCGGCCGCGCGCCGGGCTCGCGGCAGGGGGAGGGGCTGAGGCTAACGGCACCGCGGCCATGACGCCGGCTGGCCGTCCACACGAGTTCCTGTCTCCCTCCACCCACAGTCACAGCTCATTCCCAGACGCGTTTCTTCCCAGGCTTGGGAGTGAGCCGATGGCCCACGTTCGAGAAGCGTCCCGGTCCTCCCGGTCGGTCGCCTGTTGGAGTTCGGGAGGTCGAAGAGCCTGTTTGGAGCAGGCAGCTGAGCAAGCAGCGAGAATGGAGCAGATGATGCGGGGTACACAGGGACCCAAGGAGAACAAGCCGGAGCGGTGGCCGGAACCCGAGCCCACGTCGGAGAACTTAACAACTAGGGCCAGTGGCAGCGATGAGAAGGTGCTCGCTTCCACCCTGGCTACTTGTCACACCAGCTCCAGCTTGGTTTGCCCGCGCCGCAAGCCCCGCCCTCGGTCCCAGCCCAGGTCCCGCTCCAGGGGAGGGCGTGGGCTCAAGGCCCCACCCTCGCCTCCCTCCAAACCTCCGCCACCCCCTCCTGCGCCGCCACCTCCACCCCCGCCCCATCTGCGGTCGGTGGCCTGCCGCAAATCTAGGCGTAGAGCCAGGCCTGCACCTAGATCCCAATCACGGAAAAGCTCCTCTAGTGATCTAGGCTACTCTGGGGATCCAGAGAGCACAGAGTACCCGTTATTAGAGGTTGTGTCTAATAAAGGTTCCACAGGCTGCCCTCATGTAGAGAGCATTAAAGTAGCCAAAAACTGGCAGAAGAACCTGCGGATGCTCTACCAGCGATTCATTTGGAGTGGAACTCCGGAGACTAGGAAACGTAAGGCAAAATCGTGCATCTGTAATATATGTAGTACTCATAACAACAGACTCCGCTTATGTGTCTCCTGTGTATTTTTTGGATGTTTTACTGAGAAACATATTCATAACCATGCAGAAACAACACAACACAGTTTAGCAATAGACCTCTGCCATGGGATTATATATTGCTTTATGTGTAAGGATTATGTATATGACAAAGATATAGAAAAGATAGCCAAAGAAACAAAACAGAAACTTCTGAAACTATTAACTTCGACTGCAATAGACGTATCTGATCAGCAGTGTATGACACTGGAGGCTGACGAAAATCAATCAACCTCTGAGTCCAAAGATCAGGAGACTGCTTTGGTAAAACCCAAGAAAAAGAGGAGTAAACAGACAGTTTATTACACTGTAGGAATTAGAGGTTTGATCAATCTTGGGAACACCTGCTTTATGAATTGCATTGTCCAGGCACTTACTCACATCCCGCCACTGAAGGAGTTCTTCCTCTCCGATAAGCACAAGTGTGTAAGGACAAGCCCTAGCTTGTGTTTGGCTTGCGAAATGTGTTCGCTATTTCAAGCCATGTATTCGGGGATTCGATCACCTCTTATCCCCTATAAATTACTGCACCTGATATGGATTCATGCAGAACATCTAGCTGGCTACAGGCAGCAGGATGCGCATGAGTTTCTTATTGCAATATTAGATGTGCTGCATAGACACAGCAGAGATGATAGCATCGAGCAAGAAGGCAACGCCAATTGCTGTAACTGCATTATAGATCAAACCTTTACAGGTGGCTTGCAGTCAGATTTGACATGTCAAGTCTGTCATGGTGTCTCTACCACTATAGACCCATGCTGGGACATCAGTTTGGATTTGCCTGGCTCTTATAGCCCAGGGAGGGCTTGTAGCTCAGTGAATAGCGATGACAACAAATCAACAGTCACCTCACTTACAGATTGTTTGCAGTGGTTTACAAGACCAGAGAATCTGGGAAGCAGTGCCAAAATCAAATGCAATCAATGCCAAAGCTACCAGGAATCTACCAAACAGCTCACAATGAAGACATTACCGATTGTGGCCTGCTTTCATCTGAAACGGTTTGAACATTCTAGCAAACAGAGGCGAAAGATTAATACTTTTATCTCATTTCCTTTGGAACTGGACATGACTCCCTTTCTGGCCTCTACTAAAGAGAGCATAATGAATGGCCAGCCATTAGCCGAATGTGTGCCCAGTGAGAATAAGTATTCTTTGTTTGCAGTGATTAACCACCATGGAACTTTGGAAGGTGGCCATTACACCAGCTTTATTCGTCAAGAAAAGGATCAGTGGTACAGCTGTGACGATGCCAGGGTCACCAAGGCTACAATGGAGGAGTTACTCTGTAGTGAAGGGTACCTACTCTTCTATTACAGGCAAGATATAGAAGGAGAATAATCTTATCCAGAACACTTTCCAAAAAATTATAATAAATAAATAAATAAAAAAAAACAAAACCAAAAAAAAAAGAGTAAGGATCCTAAAGTGACAAACAACACAAGCCTACCTTGAATAGACTATTACAATGCCATTACAACAACGAGCACCTCTTAAAGAAACACAAAAATCTACCTGGAGTGGACAATAACCATAATACCTATATGACAAGTGGCACTTTGGCATAAAGGGTCTATTTTTACCCTGTCCCATAACTCTATGGGAGGAAGACACTAAGTTAACTGTGACCATTTAGCCTTAAGAACTGGAGGGAGAGAAGGAGAGATTGAAAAGGGTCACATAAAGAATATTAATTGAATTCTCAAGGTGGAATGAGAGGAGATATTTTGCAATTACTATGTGTTCTTTATTTTTTCAGAGATATTGTGTTAAGTGGGGGGGTATCTTTTGGGGGTTTTAATTGATTGTAGTTATTGTTATAAGTGCACAAATAGTATGAAAAAAAACCAAATATTTTAAAAGAAAAACTTTAAAGCTTTAAAAGAAAACCATAAGAAACACTTTTGAAAGTTTTAAGAGAACATTTTAAATGTTAAAATTTTAAGTTAAGTATTTTAGAAGAAATATTTTTCAATGTTTTTAATTTAAAATGATTCCAAATTGTTATTGTGTGAAAATAGAGTATTTAGAAATGCTTACAATTTAAGATGAAATATGAAATTTTTAAAGGTAGTTCATGAAAGAAACACTTTAATTTAAAAATAGTAAAGGAAAAACTTTAAAAGCCCAATGTGAAAACATTTAGATTCTACAAATGTAAAGCATAAAATCTATGCATTGGAAAACCAAAATTTTCAGAAAATATTCATAGAAGAGCTAAAAAGTAAAATTTCAAAGTATATAGAATGAAATGAAACTAAGTTAATTGGTTTTAAAGATTTCAAAAAGAAAAACGTTTTCAAGAATTAAGCGAGAACCTTCTGTAAATTCAACTGCAGAGATTTCAGCACAAAAAACTTTGAAAATATATTCACATACAGATTAACAACTGATGTAAATAAGATCATATTTGAAAGTTCAAATTTTATTTTGTACTCAAGCATATTGCAATATAGATGGATATAAAAGATATAAATGAGAGAGTAATGACAAGACAAAATGGTTTGTGAACATATGTATTTTTTTAGTCTTATGTCAATGCAGAAGTAACTATATTGGAAAGGTGATAACATCAAGATTTTTTTTTCATTTAGAACTTTTTATTCATATGCAGCCTTAGCTTCTGAATGAAGGCTTTCAATAATTTTGTGGCTTACAGAAATTAGATCATAACTGTGAAGTTCTGGCTTTTGATGTTTCAACCCCATGATCTGACTGAGAAAGTGGCCGGGACCTTTATCTGAGGAGCTCCCACCCTCTCTGCTTTCAGTCTTTTAACTCATGGGGAAACAAGATCGTTAATCTCCACAGTACAACTATGAGTTTGTGTTTAACATTCCTGCTAATTCCTTATCCGCTCTTTATTCCCACCTTCCCTTCCCTGCGCTTACCTAAATCAGTAAGCCCCAGCCTACAAGCATCATTTTTTTAATTATACACCTGGTGTCATCATCCATTCAAAACTATCTCACAGATGACTTGTCTGGAGCCTTCCCAGGAGCCCCTATGCACGCTTGAATTAGATAATCCCATCCCCATCTCTCCTATTGTGCCTCCAAAGTACTTTGTCTATACCTCGTGGTCATTGTCTGCCTCTCTGCAACAGATCCTGAGAGCAGAGGGCCAAGCCTTATTCCCCTTTGTGTTAATAAATGTTTGTTGAATGCAAAAGTCAGTTTCATCATTTGCTGTGTTCACCCTGTTAGGAATATGATGAAGTGTGTATCTTCCACCAGAGACAGTATATAAAATATTGCTTAGCTTTTTGGGGAATAGATTCATAAAAGATATACTCACTGAGGGGATATTCAGGAGTGTGGAGGGAGAACCAAGAGTAAAAGAGGGGAAAGCACACAGCTGTGGAAGCCTGGATGGACAGTAGGGACCAGCAGCTGAAGGAGAAGCTGAGCTCTCTTACAGGTATATGAAAATGCCCCCACCACAGTTTCTTTCATTCCGAGTCTGCAATTTTACTTAAACCCCCAGTGAGGCAGTAAATCTCACCACTCTACCACAGTGTTTTGTGTCACACTCTGCATCATGACTAGGCAGCAGGAAAGTGACGTCTGGTGGCTGTTGTTTGCTTAGCATTTTTGTTCTTCCACTATTCTTTGTGGGCTAGATGAGGGTATGAATCACTTTGCCCTGTCTCTCGCTGTGCATCGTGGGCCCAACACTCAACATGGGCCGTGTTAGCTTTCAATCTTCCTACACCCCTCACACAAGAGCAAAGCTGTTTGGTTTCTGGTAAGTGGGAAGCAAAATTAAAACCAGTAGGGGATAGAAGCCCAATATCCTTTTTTTAGGAGTATGCCTCAGTAGTATAACTTCCTTATGCTAGACCTTACCTCCTAAAGCTTTCACAACCCCTCAGTGATTACAGACTAGTGACCAATGATTTTAACATTGCACACACTTTGGGGGGACATTTAACTTCCAAACCATAGCAACCCGTTGGCAGTTATTACCTTAAGGTAATGTGGCAACTAGCAAGAATGTAGTTTCCAGCTTGCAGCCTGTATCTAAGTCTGTTTGTGGTGTTGTAATAAACTGCCTAAGCCTGAGCAGTTTTAAAGAACATAACTTTGTTTTCACTGTTCTAGAGGTTGGGAAGTAAAAGATCAAGGTGTCATTCGGGTTAGTGTCTGGATGAGGGCTGTGCTTTTTTCCATGATAGCATCTTGGATGCTACTTTTTCCAAAGACAAGAACATTCTGTTCTCAGTTGGTGGACAGAGCAAGAAAACCAGTGAGGAACTAGCAGGGCCCCCATTCAGCACTTTTGTAAGAGCACTTATGCATGCGTGGTGGCTGAGCTTTTTGACCTTAAAGGGCCATGCTCTTTGGTACTGTTGAATTGATTAATTTTCAATGTATGAATTTTTGAGATTCAGACCATAGCAGTCCTCAGCCTTTTTCAGTGTCTATATAAGCTTCTAGAAAAGCCACTGCAGATCACATGGTTCTAATTGCCACAACCAACAGCAGAAAGGGAAGAGTTTCTGCTTCCAAATGAGAATTTTTAATTTCTGTGAACACAGAAGCAATGGGAAGTAGCCCCAAGCCTAACATGATCTCTCATATTGTAGTCATTTGTTAATATTAGTTTGTCTCCTCGTAGAGCAGTGGTTCTCAACCTGTGGGTCATGATCCTTTTGGAAAGGTTGCATATTATCATGAATATTAGGTATTTACATTATGATTCATTACAGTAGCAAAATTACACTTATAAAGTAACAATGAAAATAATTTTATGATTGGGGGGTCACCACAACATGAGGAGCTGTATTAAAGGGTCACAACGTTAGGAAGGGTGAGAACCACTGCCCTAGAGTCTTCATCATAGATTAGTTTAAAAGAAACAATGACTAACAGGACAGAAGCTCCGTACTTTGGGACTTGCAACTTGGACCTTTGAATATATGAGGGATTTACACCTGGGGTTTGAAACTTGCCTCAGGAAGTAGAGCAGCACACATGATAAGCTGCAGCAAGTGGAGGAAGGACTGGAGTCACTGCTACGTATCCAGGAGCATTCTGGAGAGGGACACAGAGGTAGAGGGGCAGAGGTGGAGAGGGAGGGAGAGAGAAAAAGATTGTTTGCTGCATGTATGGGTGAGGGGAAAAGCATTTTATGGAGGTCATTGTTGGCCTAGGAGGTAGGTCCTCCTACCCTTAAAACTACTTTCTATATTGTCTTTTACTTTATTAGCAGAAAGTAGCAGGAAGATACAATGATATCCTTGTAGTCCTGGAAGTCCCGGTGGTGTTAAATTGACTGAAAATTACCCAGTTGCTACCCATATATACTAGTGATTTACTGAGACTGTCATTGATGATCTTTATGTTCACCTAACAGTAGAACCAAGAGACACTGCAACAGAAAGAGAAAACAGATTCTGCAACCATTGAAATTCATCTGCATAGATAACCCTGGTCTAGACAACTTCAATGTATCCTGCCTCAGATTGAACCCTTGTGCTCTCTCCTCACTTTTTACTCTGAGACTTTGACAGCACAGGGGAGTTTGCATAGACCTGCCTACAAAGAAGGAGGAGAGTCAGGAGACCTCTAAATTTCAATCATGTAGGAGTTCCCAAAGGGACAGTGATCAGAATTATAGAATAAATAGGATAAATTCTCAAGGAAAATGTGCTATTTTTTCTATTCAATGTAAGAATATTTATTTCCTTGGCCACAGCTAAGAAATGAATCTTTTATTTCTGGCTTAGAAAATATGTAAGAAAATTATGATTCAATCATCGGCTAGTTGTGCAACCTGTGGCTTAGGTCCTCATCCTTCAGAGACTACCTTACATCCTTTAAAAAAATATATATTTTGGTCATTTTAAGTCTTTCTCTGTATGTGCGTGCGTGCGTGCATGTGTGTGTGTGTGTGTGTGTGTGTGTGTGTGTGTGTGTGTGTATGCTTGCATGCATTTGAGTGCAGGTGTTGCAGATGCCAGAAATGTCAGACCTCTCTGGAGCTGGAGTTACAGGAGGTAGTGAGATGTCTGACATGGGTACAGGGATTCAAATTTAGGTCCTGTTGCAAAACAGTATATGTTCTTAAAGACTGAGCTATCTCTTGAGCTACTGCTTTACATCTTTTATGCAAACTCAAACAACCATTATATTGTTTATAAGTAGTCAAAACAATAGAAATGCTAGGGGTTTGTCAACTTGACATATGCTAGAATTATCCAGGAAGAAAGAACCTCAGTTAAGAAAATGCTAAGCCAGTAGGAGCATTTTTGCAAATGATAATTGATGTAAGAGGACACAGCTCATTTTGGACAGTGCCATTCCTAGGCAGATGTTCCTGGGGGTATATAAGAAAGC